TATCAATCCCAGCAGCAAGATAGGTTGACAACCTGCTCCCATTACCTTTGCCACTTTATACTCAGGTGCTCGGAACTGCAGATGACTGGGGAAATCCTTCATCTCATATTTTCTCCCAATTGCTTAATCAGTGGGAATATTGAGAACAGGAACCCACTGCGTGGGAATTGTTACCACACCTCCGATACCCAACCACTCCACGATGCTCTTGTGCACTACGCCTTTGAGGTTCCCGTGCACCACCCCACGATGCACAGCATCACATAGTCTAAGCTGACACTCTAATGCAGTGCTGGGGGTGTGGTGCATTATTGAGAATGCTAAGCCTTTTTCGATGAGACATTAAACTGAGGTCCCATCTGCCTGTTCATTAAAGATCCCACGTCACTGTTGAAAAAGAGAAGGAAGGTTCACCCGGTTTCCCGGCCAACAGCCCCGCAGATAAAATTGGTCACTCACTCCACGGTTGTTTATGAGACATTGCTATGAGCAAATTAGTTGTCACATTCATCCACAAAATACAGTTACTCCACTTCACAATAAATCCTGTGAAGCACTTTGCCTCCCAAAGTATATCAAATGCAATTTCTAACTTCTGCAAAAATCAATCCAGTTTTACCCAATTACATTGCCTAAATCGGTAGATACACTATGGTATGCTACTCAGCCACATGGTGTCAGCCTGGCTCAGTCGATAGCATTCTCGCCTCCGAGTCAGAGGGTTGTGAGTTCAAGCTTCACATCGGGCCTAGAAACTCGTATGGTTTAAGCTGACACTCCAATGCAGTGCCAGGGGGTGTTGCATTGTCAGAGGTGCCATCCTTCAAATGACAGACTGTCCAGGTGGATGTTAAAGATCCCATGACACTTCGAGAAGTTCGAGAAAGAGAAGGGAACTTCACTCTCCCATGACACTATTCCACAAAGAGACGTTTCTCCTGGTGTCCGGGCCAACAATCCCACAGATAAAATTGGTCATTCACCCCATCGCTGTTTTTGGGACATTGCTGTGCGCCATTGGCTCCCAGCAAATCATTCCACGTTAACAGTATATCCCGTGACGCGCTTTGAGACATTTCGATAATGTGATAAGGCATTGTATAATAATAACACTTGCATTTGATATAACACCTTATCACGTCTTCGAGACGTCTCAAAGCGCTTCACAGAATATACTGTAAAGTGAATTGATTGTATATTTTGTAGGCGAAATGTGGCAGTCAGTTGCGCACAGCAGTGTCCCCCAAACAGTCGAGGAATGAATGACCAAATTATTACTATTATTTGTTTAAAGGGATTATTATCCCAGGAAAGTGAACCGCCAATTGACTAACAACCAGGCTCCTACTTACTGCTAGGTAACCAGAGGCATGTGGAGTAAGGAAACTTGCCTAAGATTTTGCCCAGCACAGGAATCTAGGCAAATGCTCTAACCATTACGCTACGTAGCATAGCATCTCAGATCATTCCATGGCCCGTGTAGTTGCACCCTCCTTAGCACTCCCATACCTCACCTCACCAAAACACCCCTCAACATTTTCAGTCTCCAGGTATCTATCCATCTTTGGTCGTGCATTCAGCATTCTTTCTTTTTTTTCTTGAAGGAATTATTACCCCTGGAAAAGCGATCCGCCAATCGACTAACAACCGGTTCCTACGTACTGCTAGATAAACAGAGGCATGTGGAGTAAGCAAACTTGCCGAACCTTTCACCCTGCTGTGAATCGAAAGCAGGTCTCTCGCTTGCGAGGCGAGTGCTCTAACCATAGAGCTCTAACCACCGTATCAGATGCCAGGATTATCATTATTAAATGCTTTCCACGTACCCTGTGTTAGGGAGTGATGGAGAAACACAGGATTTGCCAGGATTATCACTTTCTTCAGTACAGAATAGCAAAGAGTTGTTTTGCTCCCACAAGTGATAAATAAACAAGATGAGGAAGCAACAAAAAAGGTGTTTCCAAACCACAGGTATTAATCCAACCAGCATCAAAACCTAGCCTGCCAAGAGCCTCTATCCATTTTCAGCTCAAGTACATATTTTAATTTTAACTGCCTTCTATGTGTTCCAACCTTTTCTTGACCCAGTTAAAACTTCACACTTATTTATTATATGTAGATAAACTGGTTTTGTTGGCGCTTAACAGCCAGGCAAGCTGGCTTTAGAACCATAGAAATTTACAGCACAGAAGGAGGTCATCCGGGCTTGTGGTGTGTGGCTGGCTCAGAGAGAGCAATCTGTTTTAGTCCCGCTCTCCTGCTTCCCCCTGCCCCGCACGTCCTTTAATATTTCTTCTTTTTAGATGATTTATCCAATTCCCTCTTAAAAGTGGAGTCCCGTAATGGTTAGCGCACTCGCCTCACAAGTGCAAAGGACCCGGGTTTGTTTCCCAGGCAGGGCAAAATCTTAGGCAAGTTTCCTTACTCCATACACCTCTGTTTACCTAGCAGTAAGTAGGAACTCGGTTGTTTAGGCGTTTGGGGGATCACTTTTCTGGGAGTAATAATCCTCCCGTTTTTGGGACACTGCTGCCCGCAATTGGCTGTTGCGTTTTGCCCACAAGCGCTTTGAGACTTCTCAATGACGTGATAAGGTGCAGTATCAAAAGCATGGATTATTATATTATTATTATCCATCTCAGCAACATTGCTCTGTATGTGTTCGTGAGCGAGTGCGAGTGAGTGAGCGAGCGAGCGTGTGTGGAGCAAGATTAAGTGATACACTCTCTGACTTCAAGGAACCCCACTGTGCGACATTTAGAAAAACTTTCATTGTCCCGTCAGTTGTACAATGACTCAGCACATTGTTGAGAGAGCACAGTAAAGTATTAACACTTATGAGTTGGCCTCTAAGCTAACGTTCCAGGCCAAAACTAACCACTGCAAATTACTGAGTCATTTGGGAAGAGTGAAAAAAAGTGCAAGGTCTGCACAGCGACTGCACAGAACATTAAAGAACTATCCTGCATTTTATATTTTAGAACCAATATGTTTTTTCTACGTCTTGTCGTGGCTTTTTTTAAAACAGAACCAACTGCATCTTATCAGTCTTTTCGAAGTAGTTTCAAAATGCTAAATATAAAATATCCTTCAAAAGGAAGCATTAATGACACCCAGAGAGCCACATCCCCCGTACAAAGCCCTCAGCATGTTGTTCTGTGAAGAGAATTGGGTTCAATTCAAAGGAAGCATGTTAACTGCTTGCGTGAGTTCAGTCAATGTCAGTCACGCTCACCCCTTCAGACAATTATGAATTGAGTGACTTGTTCACATTACACCTATCCCTGCCACCTGCCATCTTTGTGAATGCTGCTTTCTAACTGGCAGAACCAGATCACGTTATAGCGTAATATTTCCTCCGCCTTTTATGCTTTTTCTTCATCCATGCAAAATACAAAGTAACATTTGTGTAGCGCCTTTCGCATCAAGAGGACGTCCCAAGATCAGTTCTGATGAAGAAGACCCTTTGGCCAACCCAATCTCACCCCTCTACAACAACCACACCGTCATCCTCCCATCAAGCTTAATTTTTAGAATGACTCTAGTGTCCTGCCCTCAACACTGGAGTCGTTCTAAAAAAGTCCCTCTGGGTAAAGAAAAACTGCCTAATATCTGTCCTGAAATTGCCACTTGCAGAAGTCCAGTTTCTCTTTCTCACACGCGCACATATACACACACACACACAAGATTCACATTTGCAGTTTAAGATTTTCTTTCTTTTTTCTTTCTTTCTCTCTTCTTCTGAAGGGGCCGCTGCCACACTCTGGTCCCTCAGCCACCAGACCAGTGTGACACGTGAACTTGGAACAGTCAGCGTAGATGGGCTATGCGAGTATGGAGGGCATCCTGTCTATATCGGACATTCACACTTGCCCAATTCTCATGTGTGTTGAGTATGACTGTGCGCGCGAGTGCGCATGCATGTGTGTGTGTGTGTGTGTGTGTGTGTGTTGGGGGGGGAGGGGGAGAGACACAACAACAGTGAACAGGAGAAGGAGCCTTGGGAGAACAGAGCATAATTGGAGCATCCCAACAGAGATCAGTTAACTAAGCACAGACAAGGAATTGAACCTTACAGACTTCAAGGCTGTACGGCTGAGTGCTTCGTCACGGCAGCACTGACTTTATCCACTCGGCCATGGCTGGGGGACGAAAAAGAGGACAGTCCTCTACAGTTCAGTTTAACAAGAATACAAAGGGGAAGTGGATTGGAAATTGGGTTGTGAAAAATACGAGGTGGGAAGGAATAGCAAGCTACAAGTATTGAGCAGCTTGCTAATATTGCAACCTGCAGCTACAAGTCCCAACTGGCAAATAAAACTAAACTGCAGGAGGGAGAAAAGATAAGAATTCAGAAGGAACATATATACTGTACTGAGTGAGTGGTCTGACTGAAATCAACGGTAACATTTGTATTATTATTATTATTTTTAAAAGTGAAGAAAGAGCCTTGTGTTAAAATTTGCAACAGAACATCCCCAACGCAACAACTGAATTCTATTCTTTGTTTTAAGCTCGCAGGAGGAGGACATGAACCCAAAAGCAAACTTACGTCATTTTCAGAAGTCCCACACAGGCTACAGGATTTGCACTCAATACACTGCCAGTGATAGGTTTTCACAGCTGCAGTCATATTTATTGTGAATTGCAAACAGGTTGGGTGACCTGAGGAAATGCAACAAACAAGATGTTTATACACCATTTCCTGAGTCAAGTTTTGAGTAAACAGCAAACACAGGTTTTGAAACTTTTTAAGCATGTGTTAACCCTTTCGCTGCTGGGCAGGGCTGCTGTGCAAAAAGGCTTTTTTTTAAAAAACAAACTCCAGCTATACTACTTAACAAGCAGTCTCTAGCAACAATACACTTCATCAACACCCCAAAATATTAATACTTAACACAAATCTCTTGTTTTTAACAGAATAAGTACAAACATTCGGTCAAGTGATAAGAGAGTTTACTTGCTTTTAACAAAAATTCAAAAAATAAAACCGGACACAGTTTGAGACCAATACGCAGTTTATTTTTTCTTACAAATAAAAATTCGTCATCTCAATCTCAGCAGCAATTTTTTTTTCCAGTTTATATAAAGAACCTTTTTGTTTTTAACCTTTAATATCGTACGACAAAACAATACCATCCCTTGATGGCGACAATATACCTTACTTCATCACGTGGGTACAGCAAACTTCAATCGAACTAATCAATAAATAGAAAGTAATCACTAGACTCCCAGAACAGCCAAATGACACACCCGACCGACACATACCACATCCACTTGGAATCAGTCCTAAATTCCGAGATTGAACTAAATGGCTTTGACAACAAGGTTGAGCAGAGTTGATTTCAGAGTCTAAACAGTTCATCAGTAAAAAAAAACTAGCTACCAAATTCAGCATCAGAAACAACCAAGTTGGCAATTAAAGTTCGCTTTTCAGAAAAGAAAACAAACATACATACATTTACAGAAAATAGAAGGGAGCAAGGGCAGTGGGGGGGGAAACAAAAATTGCACTACATTAGCACGTTTTTAAATATTGCCCAAATGTAAGGAATATCTAACCTTTCCTTTTATTTAACCATTTATTTCTGGTCAGTCTTGTTACTTGGAAAAAGAAATCGAGAGATCAGGGGTGAGGGGGGGAGGGGGTGGACCAGCTCAGCTGGAGATCCCTTTCGAGTTTAAAAATTTATTTCACAATAATAAGTCTCTCTTCGTTCATATTGCACGGGCTCAGTGCGTTCCTGAGGCTGCGTCACACTAACGAGATGCTAGGCGGCTGTGGACAAGCAATAACTCCACTGGCAAAGCAGGGGCTGGCATTTCATTTCCTTTCTTCCTAGAAACGGCTTGAGTGGTAATCGTCGGCATCCAGGATACTCTGTGGTGAAGGAAAGGGCAGAGGAGAGCTGTTTGTTTAGTAGGCTGCGTGGCTGTTAAGAGAAAAACTTTTTTTTTCAGGATAACAGCTTGGTGCATTAATAGCTTTGTGAAAAAAAACTCACTTGCTATACAACACTGCCGCATTATAATAAAGCTAAAGCCTACCCTGCCCGCAAAGGGTTATGTTAATTAGCAAGAGAGAGAGAAAAAAAATCCCAAAGCACCTTAAATTATTTTTTCTTATTTTATTTTTATTTTTTTAAAATAAATTTAAACATTCATTATTCCCTGGAAATATCGATTGTTTTGTAAAAGTAAATATCAACGAAAGTTGTGGGCACATACCTTGCAATGCAACCGATGAACTCCTTTTAATATAACAGGACCAAAAAGATGCTGTTTTCACTTTTTTTTCCTCCCCGTCAGAACTTGCCTATTGACGTAGTTTCTTCGCGAAATGCAACCGGAATGTCCTAGCACTCAACAGCGGGAGAACAATTCAGCTGACCACATAAGCCAACCAAAAGGTACAAGTCCCCTTGAAAGGGCAGGCTCAGTTTTGCTTGCTTTTTTTTTAATATATAAATTATATAGATTTTTTTTAAAAAACTCCGCTTCTTTCAGTTCATCGTACAATGAACGTCATTGCCACGAAAACCATGGAGTTGCAGGTGCAAAGAGGTGAAGAACGCAGGCTTGAGACCTTGTTCCAATGGTGAATAGGTTCCACGTTATGTGTATTGGAATGGTAGTCGGGACAGCGTGCCTACAGGAAGGATCTAGTTGACTTTAAGCCATTGCACTTTTGTAAAGGGAAGTCCATTTAGCTCAGTGGGTACCTCCCACAGTTCATCATAATCCCTTTGTTTGAGTGCCCCACTCATTAATTCATTCAAAAAAGGTATGGTGGCCAGTCAAATGTCTTTCTTTAAACAATAATAATCACAAGTCAAAATGCTGATCGTCTTCAGACAGTTAGAGACTCTTGTTTACTGATGAACGGATAAAAAGCATCGACTCTGCTCAGTTTCATGCACAACACAGGTCTAAGAATTCAGCATGAGGGTTCTGGCTACAAAAAGCCTCCATTGTTGTCAAGGCCATTCATTAAATCTCGCCCGAAATCTTACTTTGTGCTAGCAGGTATTCATTCCCCCAATCGCGTGTTTAGCTGCTGCAATTGTTATTTGCATCGTTACTAGCAGGCGGACTAAGGCCTTTGTTTGATAGCAGTTCATCGAAATCATCGTCGTCAAAGCCATGAAACGTAGAAGCGTCACTTTCGGACGATGCACCAAACAAGTCCTCTGCACTGCACAAGTCCGTCTCCTTTACGACATCTCGGCCCAAATAAGCTAACATGTATGATGATGTACATATCAGCACACGGGGTTTTCAGCAATACACACACAAAATGGAAAATAAAAAAAATCAATCATAGGTCCTACCTCTACATACAAGTCAACAAGACCTACGCTAGCAAAGAATCCTGAGCTCTTAACCTCTAAACCCTGCTATTTTATTAACAAATCAGACAGCGAAAGGGTTAAATAAATAAGATATATATAAAATTTATTAAAAATCGCGACAATTACCGATGCACAAATGGAAAGTCTCGTTAATTTATGGGCTTGAAGCCGTCAAATGTGAAAACAATTAATCTGACAACTCTCAGCTGAAACGGAGTTAATAGTATTAATGTTCGAAACTGCAGCTGTAGACAGTTTTGTTGCATTGTATATCATAACCAAATGTTTTTTTTATTGAACAAAATGAACAATAGAAGAACCAGGGGTAGAAATTCACAAGGTCACGAGAAAGGCTGAAGGAAATCGCCTTTCGGACCATTTGATCTCATCCTTTTGGAGTATCAACCCTACCATCTTCCCGTTACAGCACCAAGCTGTTCCTTAACTGAGTTCATTGCCCTACCATGCTTCTTGGTAACCCACAATAGTTTGGGTATATTTCAAAATAAAGGCCTCCCAGTCACCTCGTTGACAACAACCATCTGTTGCAAACATCCCCACGTTTATTCAGAAATGAGTTAGGATGTTTTTAAAACCAATTTGGAAATACTGATTGGCTTTATGGAGCAGCAGCAGTTAAATTCATGTATATGTGATGCCAAGTCTGGATAGGAAATCTGATTCATGGGTATGTCATTATGCTATCTCCCCAGGCCCCCCACCTTGTATTTTTTGGGGAGGGCAACATTTGGGGAAAACTGTTGAAAGTGCCTGAATTCTGGTTTAAAGCTGAAAAAATTGGGGTTAATTTGGAAACCTTTTCTTTTTAAACAATGCAGAAAACTGGCTTTTAAATCAAGATTGAATTTAGGAATTTTTCAGAAGATTTTTCACAATCTTAATTTTTTTAATAAAAACACCAATTGATCCTAATACGAATGAGGTGCAATTTGGAATCTCCAGTGGTGCAAAACAAACTGAGCTTGAATTTTATCATCTGAATGTACATAGTAGGCAATAACCACAAATGCCTTTTGTTTTGTTGACTGCTAATCAATAACTGCAGGATTAATATCACTGCGCTAAGAGTGAAACATTGTTGTGTAACATTGAGATAAAAAATCTGATCCGCCTGCTCACAAAAGCAGTTCAACATCTGGTCTTTGTAACAGGACGATAAGTCAGTCAAACAATGTGGTTCTTTATGTATAAAAATCACCCAATCAGCCTAATGTTTAATATGCAAACTCTGATAATTTCCACATTTATACATTTTAAATGTTGCTCCCAGTGCCCGGGTACTTATGGATTATCTGCTCGATCTTGCCTCCCTAATGCACATTAAAGAGATGGATTTCTGCGACAAGGCACAGATCTGATGCAGCCCGGCACATGGTGTCCAAAGCAAGCTGTCTTGTGTGTGTGTGCGCGTCTCTCTTCAGGGCACTAATCAATTTTGCCCTGACAGCTCACCAGCAGCACTCACTGCCTTCAGGATCCCTTGGTTATCAACCGTGTGCAGACGGCAGCAAGAACTGATCTAATCGGCTGCAGTTTGAAAACAAAATCGACTCAGCGAGGGCCATCTTAGAGGTCATTTGAAAGAACTATGAAAGAGCTGCACCTACCGGAACGTCCGCAGTCAGAGCAAGAGACCAGCTCCTCGGCCCGGCCTGTCTTCTTGTTCATATTGGATCCTCCCAAACAGAAATCGCAGTAATTATTGGGAATAATCATCCCATCTGGACCTTTCCGAGCTGTGAAGTGCCAGAAGGAATAGAATTAGGATACATGCTAAACAGGCTCCTCACGTGGAGCCAATTAGGCGAGTTCATGGTAATTATTTTTAATCTGGTTATCATTCCCCTTGTGCCTCGTGCCTCCTCTCCCAACCCCCATCCACACTACAGGGAAGCCCTGCTGAAACATGAGGTTCTCTGATCCAAAAAATTAGACACCATGTTATTATAATGGATCAGTTGGGGAGAAAATGTTTGCCGGTGCCACTTCCAGGTCGCTACTAATGTCACTTCCAGTGTGGATCTGCTGGCTTCCTGTGTTTGTCACCTCTGTAAACTATGGGTCCTACTGTAGACTCGTGTTCTAAGCAAACTTGTGCTCTAACAGAGCGCTTAATACTTAATTAGTAATCAATGTGCACCAAAGAAACACAGATGCTTTTTATTTGGAGGTGGTGGGTGGGGAGGAGGAGATTTTTAAATATTTTTCCCCCAACCCAAGTCCACACAATGTATTATTTGTTCCAATACATTTCTACATTCCAATATATAAATTTCAGCACTCAAAATTTACAGAAAAATATAGTTTCATTTAATTTACACCAATTTTTCTCCTTTGATTTTTGCATTCCTCCTCTCTTACGTGTTTTTTTGGTGTGACTCATTTTTTTTTCTCCTTTCCACTGGGATCTGTGTTCTTTGAGTGCCCAGTGCTCTTTGGAACCGCAAGCAGCTGGCCATTATTCATGTGTGAGCTTTGACAGTGAGTATTAGCTGGCGATTTAACTACAGGGAAGGGAGTTAAGGGGGTTTGAGGGAGAAGCTAAATCTTCATAAGACACAGAGATAAAAGCACCTCTGCCTCTCTACCACAGAAAAACAGGCAGGGAAGGAGGAGTGCGGCTGGGCGATTTTCTGAGGTGAGCTGTAGAGCTTGTTTTATGGTCGGTGCTGGACACATGCAGAAATTCACACATCCCACCCACACATGGAAATTCCAAAGATAGACTGTTGGAATGGAATGCACACTCGCTCCCTGGAGGGATGCATCCTGCCTGCTTACCTAATTCCGGAAAGTATTAGGCGCAGGTTGGCAAGAGCCAAGGATTGGGCACCCCAGAGTGCAGGGTACTGCTGGAGTCTGACCAGCTAATACTGCATAACTTGCCGTTGAGCCCGCTGTCTGACAAGCTTTCCCGCACCTTAATAATAATAATCCTTAATAATAATAATCCTTGCATTTGATATAGCGCTTTTCACGTCGGGAGGACGTCCCAAAGCGCTTCACAGAACACACTGTAAAGTGAATTGACTGTATATTTGTGGGCGAACGCGGCAGCCAATTACGCACAGCAATGTCCCACAAACAGTCGTAGATTGAAAATGACCAATTTATTATTGTTTTTGGTTTTTGGAGGGATTATTATTGTCCTTGTCCAGTATTGCGGACCATAGAACTATTACTGTGATCAGCTAACTCAGTGCATAGGAGGATTTAAGCTTCGACCTTCCAGTCTGCATGACCTAGTATGGCAGCAGGTGGTCACTATATTCAGGAAGTAAGCTTCAGCTAACAGTTTACAGCAACATAACCCAAAAATAAGAACATAAGAATTTGCTGGGCAAAAAAAGACCAAGGTCTATCCAGTTCGCCCTCTAGCATGCTGACTATCACATGCCTAGTCATGACCGAAACTACATACTGTATCCCAAGATATTCGTTCCTAACAGAAATCTAATTTGTTCTTGAAACACTTTCTCCCTCGGGACCCTGTTCCATATGTTTAGTACTCGCTCACTGAAGTAGTGTTTCTGAAGATTTGTTCTGAATTTATGCCCCTTCAATCATCAGATAAACAATGGGAAATTCACTGATCTTTCAAAAATTCATGTTTTCAAGATGTCAATTCCTGCTAATGTTTAGGGAGTTGTTTCCCCTCACCCCAAAAAGGTAAATCCCTTCTAGTATAGAAATTGGTACAAGACACATTTTCTGTATGAAGTGGCCTCTCTGGCAAGTGAATTTATTTCCTGCTCTCGCTGCAATGTGACCCAAATGTTGTGATAAATCTCCAGTTAACCTGAGATAATCATCAGTAAATACAGACTCCACTTCCCTAAACATGGTAAGGTACATGCACAAGCATAGAGAGGAGTAAATCCCTTTTGTCCACTTTACTATGGTCCTGGGCTGCAGCAGAAAATTCTGCTGAATTAGAACACTTAAAGAAAAATCACTTCCACGCACTTTTTTCCCCTTTTTTGAGGAAATGTACCCATATGTTTTCTCTGCTCTCTCATGTCCAAGAGGAATGAATGGGTGATCTATTCTCCCCTCTTATCCTCCCACCTCTGTCCCCACCCCCGCCCCGTCCCGCCTCTGCTGATATTGCTCCAAGGTATCGGTTTTGGCTCAGTCGGTAGCACTCTTGCTTCGGTGTCAGAATAAGGTTTTCAACCCCATGTCACAAATCCCACTTTAAACCTACCTCTTTGACCATGCCTATGTTCACCTCCCCACTGCTTGCATGACGTCTAACCCCACCATTGTGACGTATTCAGAGACTTTATTGTATGTGAAGGGCACTATATAAATGCAAGTAGTAGTTGTTGTTCAGCTAATAGTGTCTAAAGGATGTGGAACTGGTTAAAATTTTTGGCCCATCCTTAGCAGGTTCCCTACGTTAGTAGTCGAGCTCATAGTCTAGGCTGACACTCCAGTGAATAAGCTGTATTCACATTTCCTACTATCCTTAAAGGAATCCAATTTGATACTCCCACCGACCTGCCAGAACTGTGCTCCGGAAGCAGATTGTGTCAGAGCAGAGTTCCTTCGAGGGAAGGTGCGACTGCGAAATATAATAATAAAAATAATCCTTGCATTTGATATAGCGCTTTTCACGTCAGGAGGACGTCCCAAAGCGCTTCACAGAATATACTGCAAAGTGAATTGACTATATATTTGTGGGCGAACGCGGCAGCCAATTGCGCACAGCAACGTCCCACAAACAGTCGTGGATTGAAAATGCCCAATTTATTATTGGTTTTGTTTTGGTGGGATTATTATTAGGTGTGTGGAGTAAGGAAACTTTCCCAAGGTCTCGCCCTGCCTGGAATTGAACTCAGGTCTCTCACTTGCAAAGCGAGTGCTCTAACCACTGAACTACAGAACTCCATAATATGTCTGTTTACTGGAAGGAGTCCTCATTTGTCGATCACAAGTTAATGAATCCCTTTAAAAATCCCATATAATAGATCCTAACAAGATATTCAAAGTTCACTCTCAGTTTCGGCCAACATGAAAACCCCCAAACACACTGTGGTCATCACTCTCTCCCATACACGCACACGTACGCACAGACACACATGCACACACACATTTGAGGGGGGGGGTTGGTCCTCACTCACCAAGAAGTCAAATGCACCAATGATAATCGGATTACACACAGAAATTCAAAATGCTACTTGTAATTTCTCCCCAAAAATTGACTAAATGCCTCAATTTCAGCTTCAATGAAAACAGAATTCCCAGTGAAACTACAGACAGGAATAAAACAGAAAACAAGCCAGGGAGTATAATCTTATTTTAAAATGAAATCCTCTGGGGAGGGGTGGGGGGACTCTTTGAACAGTTCCTTCTGTTGGGCAGATAAACAACAACAGGCATGTCACAGAGTGTTAGGTAGATGCTTCTCTGTGTGTTCTCAGACTGCTCAACATCAAAGAAATGTAAACTGCACAGCATCAATGAAAATCAGATTGGATGTTCACAAAGTACAAAAGACTCTGTAGATTTGCAAAGTGATCTATTGAGACTCAAGCTCTTCTTTTAAAAAAATTACCTTGAAAATTTTAAATAACAGATTCAAACATTCCACCCCGAAATACACAATCAATCACTTTAAGTATACTCTGTGAAGTGCTTTGAGACATCTCAACAATATGCTAAGGCGCAATATCAAATGCAAGGATTATTATTATTTTAAGAGAATTGTTTTACGGGCTGAGACTAGTTCGACTTTTGTGGCTTAGGGTTCGTTAAAAGAAATGTAAAGCAGTGGGGGTGGGGGCACAAAATGAAGACAAGAAGATTTTTCCTTGTAAACAAAAGTGCAAATAAAAGTTTGGCCAGTTCTATATCCCAGAACTAAATAACCATGTTACACGTGGATCTTTGCTACACCTACTGAAAATAGCACACAAACGTGTAATCCGCATAGTGATGCTCAATGTACAATTGAGAAGTGTGTACAATCCACTGGAGATTCAACAAGAAACTCCAGCAAAAGTGAAAAGAGAGAAAAAAAATTGCAAGAAAAACGATTGAAAAGAAGGAGTAAAAGTAATGTAAGAATTTGACTTTGGGACCAGCCAGATGGAATGCAATGGTCTTATTCATTCCTGTACATTTCCAGTGTTCTGAAATTTACTTTCTTCTATTGTTCAATACCATTTCTAGCATACATAGGAGCATTATCTTCCACTAAGATTGTTGTTGTTGAAATGGCTGGTTCAGAAATAAGCAAGGCATTCAACATTGCATCTCATGCAGTCTGATAAACAATTTCTTTGGTCACAGCTGGTTGCATATTCTGAGAAGAAAAGAATTACTAACGAAAGCACCTACGGACACATGCAGAATCGGACACAGAGGTACAGACAGACAGGGACAGAGAGGTGCACACATCAACAAGAGAAGACACTTAGAAGAGTTGCCACTTTATTAAAACTGGCCACTCACTTAATCGCTTTCCGCAGGTAATAATCCCTCAAAAAATATGGTCACTCAATCCATGCCTGTTTGTGGGACATTGTGGTGTGCAATTCACTGCCGGTTTTCGCCCACAAAACACATAGTAAATTCACTTTATAGTATATTCTGTGAAGTGCTTTGAGATGTCTCATGCCATGATAAAGCGCTATATCAATTGCAAGGATTATTATTATTATTCAGATTTAAAATGTAGATAGATAGACAAATCCGTTTCTCTAGTTTATTAAAAGGAGAGATTAATATA